CAGAGGTTCGGTCATTTTTAAAACGTGAATGCCACACAAAAGTTTGCGGACTCCCCAAATGTTTGCTTTAGCATTTCATAGGTTTCCGTAGCCGTTTTGGCGAGTCTTTGGCAAAATTTGATGCACACGCCATTCCGAAATCGCAGGAGGGTCGGTGTAATGCACTACCAAAACGCCCGTAACTAAGAAACAAATGCTAATTCGATGATGCCGGCTGGCACACTGATTCACTACGAATGTAGGCCGCACCCCCTAGCGGCAGAAGCTCATACTACATCCGGTTCGCCCTCTATTGACACAGTCTTGAAACTTTCCGATCGCACCTCGTATATCGATTAGATAAAACCGAACGTCGTTGTCAGTCCTCCTTCGTATTCGGTGGGTTCCGTTTTCAGATCTCGGCCCGGAGACCGGCTGCCTTTTTCTGGGGGTTTTCGTGGTTTTACTCATACCCTCCAGGCAAATGCCGGGGTAATACCTTAAATTAGGCCACGAGCGCTTCCTTCCACATCCTTTCCAATTCATTGTTCACTGACATCCTCTCATTCGACGCTGTATAGTCTGAACTACTGAAGAACGTTATTAAATAAACATGTAAGTAAATAAATAAATAAAAGATCAGATAATCGTTTTGTGTTAGTTGAAATTACGATTGTAATGTCATAATAGTAGCGGAAGATGAAAGTACCACAGTTGAGAGACGACACTGCTAAAGAATGAATTTCAGAAACTCTGCTCACTAAACATTTGCAGGCTAAATATATTGAAGTGGGTGGACCTAATCTACAGTGTGATTATACAAGTTTAAGAACTCCGGTCCTGTACGTACTCCAGGAAGTATCTCACTTCGTTGTTCCCAATTCCGTCAGGATCTGTGGCGATGATGACGCCAATGAGCTGGCCCTCGTCGGAGTTCTCCTTGAAGCGAAGTTCATCAACATCCGAGAATACTGGAGCATTATCGTTCATGTCATTGATTGTTATAGTCAGCGTTGCTGAAATCAATTTCAGAACTAGAATAAGTAAAGATTAACGAAAAGGTTTTGTGGAGACGATCATGAACCTCGTTTCATAATTACGAGGCGCGTCCACAAAGTAAGTTTCCCACTCGTCCCACAGCTAGCAAACCTTATATTGCGCGAAGCGACTGTGCGTACGTGATAGAGCAATGACGTAGCATGGCGCATGCACTAACGGTACTTCCCGCGTTCTCACAGTAGCATCGTTGCAGCTGTTGAAGATGGAGGTTCTTATTCCAGCTCCCGCCGACTGTGAAGTGCGGTCAGTGATAACGCTAGGCCGCACACGGCTCGACGGACAGCAAGTCTCCTGCAGGAGTTCAGCTGGGAGGTGTTTAATCATCCACCCTACAGCCCGGACCTCGCTCCCAGTGATTTCCATCTTTTCCTACAACAGGTATTCAAAAGTTGGTCCCACGGTATGACAAATGTCTCAATTCCGGTGGCGAATATGTTGAAAAATAGCTGGACACTTGCTGTATCTGTTGCAATAAATATTTCCATGAAATTATGTTTTGTTTCTGTACACGGCCCCAGGGAAACTTACTTTTGGGACGCGCCTCGTATTTGGAGATGGCGCGTTTAATCATTAATAAAAATTGCAACTATATTTAAACGTAAAGTAAATATTCTCGCGTTACTCCCAGTGCACGTAAGCTTTTTATCTGTTGTTCTGAATGCGAGACAAAGAAAGGTCACGGGTCACTGACTGACAACGGACCCGTCGTGTCCACGTGTTTGGCTATGGCCCCTGTTCCCTCTGAGTTCGTGGTGCACACTTGGTCGGCCATCTGTAAAGCTACGTGTGTCCACAAATCCAACTTTTGATAAAACTGAAAACAAACCATTTTTATTTTTTTTTTTTACTTTTCCCCGAGAATAATTAGCAAGTGTGCAATGTTTTAATACAGTTATTGTCCTAGAATTATAAGCTGCAGATCCTTTTTTAATTGTTGTTTTATCAAGAACCCACATAATACTGAAGGAACACTGCGTGACTCATGTGGTTTTGTTACTGTTTTTCCTGCTGGGGTGACAAATTTGAACACATGTAAGTTACGGTCCGTACTTTATAGTTAAAACCAAAACCTATTAGTGGTCATGACGTTTCATCGTGAAATAGACGTATTTAAGGCCGCCCACACGCAATAAGGACTTGGGCTAATGAGGAAGGCTGTGCTGGTTGCTATGGTAGCAGGAGCTTAATTCTCAAAAAGTGGACTCATGCGGTTTTACAAATGGCATTCATTTGTACAGGCCTGCACAGATTCTCAGCTTTACGGTGCAGTCCCTGGCCAACCGTGTAGATCCGTTCCTGCGAAACATCGCTGGTGGTACAACCAGAGACGGAGTTGCCTGTTCATTCGCTAAATACAAACAATTTTTAGAAAGGCGTTTAAAAATAACGGACCCTTCCTGAATTTTCAGTTAACGTTGTCATTAATATAATAAAAACGGCAAATTTCTTATCTGCCTTAAGACGTCAAGGCGTTAAATCACTGAGAGATTGGCGTCGATTGCACTGATTATGCGCTCTCCGTGACGATTTGAAGTGTGGTCAATGCCAGACTTTATTTACCTTTCGAGAACTTCTTGTCAAGGTAATTTTCGTTTGTTTTTCTGTCCTCCACACTGACGGTGACATACAGTGTGTCGAAAGCTTCCCAGTCCAGCACCTTGGCCACCGTCAGGATCGCCTTTGCACTCCGTGCGTTGCTGGGGTCGACAGTAGTTTCGATGGTAATGCATCTGAAAGAACGAGGGGAACGTAAAGATGAATGCAAACTGCACATCTGACCTGATAATTTTGGTGGAACTACGTCAAGGTGGGGCGGAATGCTCTCGAAGCTTCGCGAAAGAAAGCATTTGGATGATAATTGAAACGGTTTTTAACAAAGTAGGTCCGGGCTATACTCGTATTCCGTATCCTTCTGATGTCAGCTCACCGTCAGTTACACCTCCGTGCATAGAACGAGTATTAAACACTCTTAATTCTATATATGAAAAAATTAAACAGGTGTCCCAAAAACATTTATATATACACACTTAATTAATGAAATAAAATCATTTTACTAACTTAAATTATTTCATACGTCAGCATTGGTACTTCGTGAATTATCGAATCTAGTGTTTTCAAAATGATCACCGTTAACTCTGTGGTACAATTGATTGCGGTTAGCAACTGACTGACAAGAGGCCACCAGTGTTGCTGCTGTGTATACGTCTTTTTGTTAGCAACTGACTGACAAGAGGCCACCAATGTTTCTGCTGTGTATACGTCTTTTTAGGACAGCCTGTATATATTTATTTATTGTTCTCTAGTACCGGAAACTCAAAAAATTCAAGGTCAGAGAGTCATCGAAGTCAAATGGCATGAATATTAGGTTTCAGGAATTTAGTAGAACCAATTTCAAAATGTTATTTTGCTAGGGGTTAGCGTTGAGCTTGCCAAAAGCTGAATCTTGTAAGTGCAGTCTACTTTGAGGACTCCATGAGTAAATGAGTTGAACGACTCATGGCATAAGGCGAGGTTCTATCCCGAAAAATGTTTTCAGGGATTGAGAAAATAAAAGCTGAAACCTCGGTCAGCGTTGGTATTTGCACTATCTGTTAGGACACGGGAGTGTTGACCAATAGGCCGCGAGGTTCGCTGGTAGTTTATTTGTATAGGATATGCGGTTTAAAACGCAACTCAAAAACAGTCACGTACTGTGGTGCAAAAAATGTAATAAAGTTTACCGACGAATGTTTTCTGAGAACGGCATCAGAATTCTCTGATGTATTTAATTTTCATACACTGGTCCCTATCCTGGGCCAGATGAATCCAGTCCACACTACCCCATCCCATTTATCTAAGATTCATTTTAATATTATCCTTCTGGTTTTCCCACCAAAACCCTGCGTGCATTCCTCTTCTCTCCCATGCGGGCTACATGCCCTGCCCATCTCATCCTCTTTCAATTGATCAGTTTATTTATATTTCGCGAGATGTGCAACCTCATTATCCACCTTTCTCCAGCCTCCCAGTAATTCATCCCTTTTGGGTCCAGATATTCTCCTCAGAGCCCTTTTCTCAAACGCCTTGAATCTATACGTTCCTCCCTTATTGTCAGAGACCAAATTTCACGCCCATACAAAACTACAGTTATTGTCAGAGACTTATATATTTTAATCTTTACGTTTTTAGACAGCAGACGAGACGAGAGAAGGTTCTGAACTCAATGGAACCAGGTATTTCCCGAATATAATCTTCTCTTAATTTCTTATGAATCAAATTTTGATTTGTTACTCTCGAACCCAAATTTATTAACTTTGCCACTTTTTCAAAAAATCTCCCAGCTGTCTTTGTGTTAATATTTTAGTCGCAAATCCGCACTAGGCTCGCCTACAGTACAGTTTCCGTCGTAATATATACGTAATTACGTCGAACATGGTCGAGGACAGACTCGCACATTGCGAGCAGCTCGTCCAGGTTTAGACCTGTCCTTCAGTTTTGTTATACGTACTCTGTAAAATTATCCTTGTCCAGCTGCACGCCTTGTTTGGCCGCCCTGGAGGTCTCCCAGTCGATGGTAAACCACAGCTCTGGCTCGCTGTCTTCGTCTGTGGCACTGATCTCGACATCCAGTTCTTCACCGATTGGAGTGTTCTCGTCTATGATCGTCGGACTTGACGGCTAGTGGGAAGAAAATTCATTCGAATGTAATAATAATCACGTGTCGCAATATTCGACTTCAGTACAAAAATATTTAAATTGCCTTATTCCGAAATTTATACGTATTCGGCCGTGAATCCCAGTTACTTACTTATGTATTAAAGTGCATGTTGGTTCCTAAAATAAAGAATTATAAGAAAGAATCAGGTAAATTCCATCGAGAAACGTCCATCTTGAGTAGCTAAGAGTCGCTCAGCTGACACTAAATTCCCGTCTTCTTGTAGAACCTTAAAGTTCATTACTGTGTTGACAAGAGCCCACCAGCGTCACTCCACACCCTCCAGTGCCCTCGCACTAATCTTCTGCCCTCAATGCGAGCGACCACCCAATGGTGAATATTTATGCTATCTGAAATTTGAGGCAAATCTAATCGTTTTGATTTTTATACATTTCAGAAGATCCCTTCTTCAATCGAAACTGATTCAAAATAGAGCCTTGTAATTAATTACTGGGATACTGGGAACGACCCGTTCTTCAAGTGCCCTGAGCATCTGCGGGTCCCAACTTTTTCGTTGACTTGATCTGTAGACATTCGGTAGGACTCCTTGGATGAGGGATCGGCCCGTCGTACACAGAACAGCACAACACAGAAAAACGTGGCTTGAGTGGGATTCGAACCCACGGTCCCAGCGACCAAAGGCCCACGCCTCAGACCGCGCGGCCACTGCAGACCTTGTAATTAATTAATTGAGTTTATTTTAAAAGTAGAAACAATATTTCCTATATGCTCTACGTGGTCTCAGATTCCACCCATAATCGCGAATCTGAGCACCTGTCGTGCGAAGCAGTTTGAATCGCTTTGCCTGCCATCTGTACTTCACAGCAGTAATCTTGACAATTCTCTTAAAGGGTTTCTTTATACGCGTCGGCAAAGCAGGTATCCGCCGTTCTAACATATTACTCGCCGCGCAATCGCACATGTGTGTTGGCGGTAGTGGTACTGAGCAGAGCGTTTTGTGTTAACCAAAATTCTTCCCGACATACGACGTAGTTAAATGAAGTAGTGGTGTCCATTCTTACCATAAAGAGCTCGGGTTTTTCGTCATTGATATCATTGACGTCCACAGTTATCTGGGCGTAGGCAACGTGGGGAGGGTCGTTGGAGTCCTCGGCGGTCGCTGTTACAATCACTTGGGGCTGCCTCTCGTAATTGAAGTCGCCTCCCACCGACACTTCTCCAGTGAGATTGTCGATTGCCAGGTACGTTTTGCTTGTCAGGCTGTAGCTGCAAATGGAAACAGTTCCTTTAGCTGTAACGCGAACACCTAACTTAATTTCATAATTTAGAAATGAGGTTTAAAATATGCATTAGATAAAACCATTAAAATTTCAAGAGAGACAAGTGGCACTTTGCAAGACGTAAAATATTATTTTATCGTAAGAACTTGGACTTTAAGAAGAAGTTATAAAACTAGAAAGCTGTGTAACACATATACGAGGTGCGATCGGAAAGTTTCAAGACTGTGTCAATAGAGGGCGAACCGGATGTAGTACGAGCTTCTGCCGTTAGGGGGTGCGGC